TCACCTGTCCTTCCTCCCATCTTTCGAACATCTACCCAGTCACCCTTCCACCCACCAATCCAACCACTCATCTATCCACCCCCCACAACATCCCCACACCACACACACCATTCACCTACCCATCCACACACCCTCCCACCCATCTATCCATCCATCCCCACCCGCCACCCAGCCATCAATCTTCCCATGTCCACTCCCCCATAAATCCACCTGCGTATCCAACTACCCAAACATCTATCTCCCCCTCACCCCCCCCCCCATTAGAGGAGCATCTATTTATCCAGCCCGTCAGCCAGCGTCTCCTCTCCCTGCTTCTACTCCTGCCCCACCTGACCAATCCCATCACTGAGCATCCCTGGCCGTTTCCTGCTGCATCTTAACCAGGCATCTCGACTCCCAGAGGGACCGGGGGTGCAGAGATCACTTCCTCTCACCAGGTGCTTGAACAGCCAAGTCACTTGCCTGCTATGTGAAGCGACCGGGCAGGGCTGCCCTCTCTGAGCTAACCGTGGGCGCGGGGCTCCCCGATGCCCAGCCCACCTCAGCAGTTTTCCTTTGCTCCACATGCAGTTGCCTCTGCCGTGTCTGGACCCACCTCAGGGCACAGCGCCAGCTACCAGCCTGCCATGGTCAGTCTCCTCCCGGGGCAACGGATACGCACTAACCCCAACGTTCTCTCCTTCCAGGTGAGACGCCAGTGCCGGCCACAGAGCCGTTAGAGGTGCCACTGAACCTGCCCCTTCAGAAGGTGCCTGGAGCCCCCCCCCCCACCCTGCTCTGTATCCTCACCATAGTCCTGGGGGGTTTCTGTCCTCCTGTTACCAGAGAAAAGTGAGGCTTGGAGACTTTGTCTTTCCCAGAGTAACCCAGCTGGGAGCGCTGGGCCGGGCACGGTGGCAGAGGCACCCGATGCCCAGTACACTGGCTGCCTCCCAGGACCCTGGGGTGCAAGTGCGGCCCAGACCCTGGGGTCTGCTGGGAGCCACAGGGGCCTCTTCTCCTCCTGCCCGTCCTGCAGGACCTGCAGCCACCCCAGAGGCCGGAGCCCAGGATAACACCGCCACCGCCGTGGCTGTTACCCCCAATGCTGGGAGCTTGTCCTGCAGAGCCCTTTCCCTGGCCTGGCAGGCAGGGCCCGGTCCGGGGGACTGACTGCCCACCAGTCCTGTGAGCACCCAGGGGTGATGTCAGCTCTGGGGAGGGCACAGGTGTGCCCCATGCCCAGGGCCCTGTGTCTGGACCTAACTCCACAAGCTGGAACACACACGAGGGCAGCAAGGCCTGCTCTCTCTTGCCAGCTACTGGCACCTTCTCCCTGTAGCACTGGGCCTGCGGGTGAGGCGATGCTTCTGAAAGCCTCTCGCCGGCCAGGGTGGTCTGCCAGGTGTGTGGGAGGGGCCTTTCTGAAGGCCTGGATGCCACCATCCGGAGGGACAAGCTGGGGAGCTCCTGGAGCACCTCTGTCTGTGGCCGGGATCTGGGGCCGGTGTGAGGTGCTGGCCACATGGGGAGGGGGATGTGTAGACCCCACTCGGCCCTGGAGCAGCATGCTCTCAATGGAGGCCAGGGTGGGGGTGACCAGAACCATTGTGACCACAGGGATGCCCAGAGACAGCGTCTGAGCTCAGTGGCTCCCACAGCCGGGCTTCCTGGGGGTCTGGCCCGCCCCCTCTAAACCACCATTTCAAGTTCTCACTCTCTGCCTTGCCCGGGCCTGGGCTCCGCATGTGAACAGACAGACATGTGCCTGGTGTGACTGCAGTGGGTGTCCATTTTATACCCATGAAATGAACTAGACAATAAAACGATGCTGTTCGGCCCTCAGATGCTGCTGGGTGTGGTGGACATTGCCACGGTCCTTTTGAATTGTACAAGATTTGGCTCAAGTGCCAAGAGCCTTATGTTGGATAGTGTCCTTTTACCTGAATCAAATCCTTGGGAATGTATCCCAAAAAAATAATCTAAAGACACAAGGCTATGGGAAGGAGTGTGCTTGGCTGTGAACACAACCTCAGAGCAACATAGGTGACAAACACAAGGAGAACGGACAAGGACACGATCAGAACCACCAGTTGGTGGACTCTGTTGCCATTGAAATGATGGTTAGGAAGACTCAGTCACCACACAGAAATGGTTATGGCATAAGAAGGTGAAAATGGCAGGAAAGTTGCATATACGACATGATACAAAGGGTATTATTCAAGTGGATAAAACTACAATTGGACATTGAAAAATTCATCATTGATGTGCATGTCACCCATTCCCTATTGTTGTTATTGTTTGTTTGTTTAAATATGTTTTTACTAGAGGCCCGATGCATGAAATTTATGCAAGAGTAGGCCTTCTTACCCCCGGCTGCCGGCACCAGCTTCCCTCTGGCACCCAGAACCTGGGTTTCCCTCCAGCCGCCAGCAGGCACCCGGGACCCAGGCTTCCCTCGCAGCCGCAGCTTCGTCCGGAAGGACATCCGGTCTAATTAGCACATTACGGTTTTATTATTATAGATTGATTTTCTTTCTAGTTATACCTGTGTGTCTATCCCTAGACAATAAGTTGCCTACTTTTGAATGAGGAGGGCAAGCCCACACCAGCAGTGCAAGGAAAGGGCAGCACTACCCCTGCTGGACGGTGGCTCCAGGGGGAGGTGAGTGGAACAGTCTCGAGTTTGTGGTCTGACTTCCGCTTCGCTGGGAGGTGACAAGGCCTCTTCTGGGGACGTCGTGAGCAAGGTCATGATTGAGTCTTGGGAAACAGGGTTCTCCACAGTCAGGTGCACTGGCGTGTGGACCAGGCGGTGGACATGCAGCGGAAGAGTGGTCAGAGGGAGTGGGCTGCTCTGTACTCCCCGCCCCTGAGCCCACGTGGCCTACCTCCAGCGATGAGGGGAAACTGAGAACTTCTGTGAGTGACATGCATGTCCTCAGCTGAGCACGAGGGGAGAGGCCATCATCAGCACATGGTCACGACAAGCCAAGTACTAATGAGAAGCTGGACCATTTTAAGTGGAAAATGGGTTCTCCTAGGCACCTGGCCTCAGGTTGAGATGGCTTGATGGAACTGGGGGTCTTGGCGGTGGGGGTCTCTGGAGTGACACGGCTGCAGTGTGGCTCAGTTGTCCTCCGGTCTGCAGGGCTGTCATCCTTGGATCACCTTTCACCATCTGCCAAGGACCCCTTGTCATCTCTCATGTTGGTCTCCTGCTTCCTGTCTCGTGTCATCTTCTTTCTTGCTTTATTCTTTAGTTTTGGTGGAGCACATCCTCCAGTAGCTTCTTGATACGGTGTGCTTAGGAAATAAAATTTTTGAGGCCTCACATGCCTGGAAATAGTCTCACTTTACCATCACACTTGCTAATATGATTGACAGTTCAGCAGGGTATAGAATTGCAAGTTAGAAATGATTTTTCCTCAGAATTTCAAAGGCATTGTTTTCTGACTTCTTTCCGAACTTTGTAAAGTTGTTTTTCTCCCAGGAGGGTGGACCAACCATTCTGATTTGCCCAGGACTCTCCTGGTTTCAGCACTGAAAGTCACAAGTCCCTCAAACTGAGATGATGGGTCATCCTCATCCCAAGTGACCTGGAATTTCACAATTATGTGCCTGGATATGAGCCTTTCCCTTCCCTGGTGTGGAGCACTTTCCAGCCTCTGCAGCTAGAACCTCTGCCCCTCAGTGCCGGGAGGTGGTATTAAGTCATTTCACTGGGGATGTCCTTCCCTTCTTTTACTGTTTGGAACTCTATTTTCATATTGGACCTTCTAAACTTGCCCTCCAATTTTTTATCCTTCATCTCCCATTTTCCATTTTAAAAATCCTTCTGCTCTACTTTCTGAAGGAGTTTTTAAATTTCATCTTCCAAACCTCTATTGTTTGTTTCAGCTGTCAGTGAAGGCTACTGGGTCCAGTCAAGACACCCGCCTCCTTCCATGTGCAATTGGTCTTTGGAGCCTCCAGGCACCTGCCCGCATTGCTCCGTGAGCCAAACACCCTCTTCAGGCTGCGTGAAGGGTGGGCTCTGTCCTGGGGAGGGCATCCCCTCTGTTGGTGTCACACACTGGCCATCACTTCACCACCTGGGATCACTCTACCTAGCTCCCTGCAGCAGAACCTCCTGGGAAAGACCCCTGGGCTTCCCTCTCCCAGATTCCTATCCCAGGACAGTTCCAGCATCATCCCCCTCATCCATGTCAGCTTTGCTGAGGGGGGGCGGGGGCGGACTGGCCTGTTATTTCAGATAAGCCATTATGCAATATACCTGCCACCAGGGATACAGTATAAGGGAAGCTTTAAAAACGTCTTTAAAACTAACCTCTAGCTAGAAACCTAACCCGGGGAAAACGTGAGGATTAGAATACCTACTCCAGGAAGGACCTCACACGAGCGTCACCATCCAACACCACAGGAGAACTTGCCTGTGAGCACCAGGTGGATCTCATGCTGATTCATACACGCTTTCTCCAGATGGTCTCAGACATTTCCCTGCTGTGCTGACATTTAAGTGCATATTTATAGCATGTGTATTTACCGTATAACACATGGTGGTGATGTTATGGAAATGCGTCAATAGACAGGTGACAGAACATGCTGAAAGGCGTGTGCCCACAACTAGCCTCCCCTGGAAGGTCAGGATACTGCAGGGAGGAGGCGCATCACTTAAGAGTTTCCAATTTCCCCAGAAACACTCCCTTTTTCTCCCTCACACAGCCAGTCTGTGCTTAGGGCCCAGGGAGGAGAGCAGAGGAAAAAGGGCTCTCTTCCAGGCCTTTGAATTTTATATGCCTGGACACAAGCAAGGCCCCTCCACAGCCTCAAATAGAAAGATGTCTCAGGCTTAGGGGAGGCGAAGGGGCAGCAAGGAGGGCTGGGGCTGGGAGAGGGCCCTCCCTTGGCCTTGCATTTTTGGGGAGGTGAAAACAGCCAGGTAGGTGAGGGGGCTCTGAAAGCAGAGGAACCTGAGCCAGTTTATAAGGGAGGTACCCCAGGGTGGTGAGGAGAAATGGCCGGGGGTGGGGACAGGGATCTGTCTCCAGCAGGTCCCAGACTGCCTGGTGTCATGATGAGCAAGGGTGGCCAGGTGGGAATTGCCCAGAGACCCATGGGCGGAACTGGTTCACCAGTGTGGACCAGATGGACCGTGGGCATCACTGTGGGAGCCTGGGCTGCCTGATCCTAGATCCCCACACCCAGTATCTTGTTTGCAGCCCTGCAAGCGGCGGGGGGCAGATGTACATACTGACTGCAATCTGGAATCTGGGGAGGGTGAGGACTAACCAGGGCTGTAAAGAACAGCTGGAGGGCAAGAGAGGTGAACCAGGTACAGTCTCACCTCCTCCGCATCACTCTGCTCCTGGAACACGCATCTTGTGCCTGCATTTGCAGATCTCTCTGCCAGGAGCACCCTTCCCTCACTTCACCTGGCTGACTTCCCTTCACTCAGAGCTCACTGGGATGCCATGCCAAGAGAGGACTTCTGTGATATTGTGATTTATAATAAGTATATTCATCTCCTATTCTGGCACAGAGACCCTAAAACCTTTGACATTTCCAAAATGATAGGAGTGATTGCCAAACTGGTTTGGCTCAGCGGATAGAGCGTCGGCCTGCGGACTGAAGGGTCCTGGGTTCGATTCTGGTCAAGGACATGTACCTTGGTTGCGGGCACATCCCCAGTGGGAGGTGTGCAGGAGGCAGCTGGTCTATGTTTCTCTCTTATCCATGTTTCTGACTATCCCTCTCCCTTCCTCTCTGTAAAAAATCAATAAAATATATTAAAAATAAATAAATAAATAAATAATGCTGTGTTTAAAAAAAAATGATAGGAGTGATAGATTATAAAGTACCAAGATGGCGGCATAGGTAAATACCTGTATTCACCGCCTCCCACAACCACATTAAAATTACAACTACAATACAGAATAGCCATCATCCAGAACTGCCTGAAAGCTGGCTGAATGGAAGGCCTACAACTAAGTAAAGAAGGAAGCACACTGAGACTGGTAGGAGGGGCAGAGGCACAGAATGGCTGGTCTGACACCCATGTGCGGCACTTTTATAATCAGGAGGAATATCTTCAAGGCCTCCTGTGAGAATCAGGGGGTCCCAGCCACACACCAGCCCCCCCAGCCCCGGGTTCCAGAGCTGGGAAGAGAAGTCCCTGTAACTTTGGGCTGTAAAAGTCAGTGGGGATTGTGGCTGAGTAACACAGAGGCTGCTGGAGTCCCAGGTGTTCCTCTTAAAGGGCCCACGCATAAATTTACATGGTCTCACTTTTTCTGAGCTCCAGTGCCAGGCTGCGGCTTTGAGGGAATCCAGGGACATATGGGGAAGAATTGAACTGTCTAACATCAGGGCAGGAACTTGGGGGCGGCTTTCTCCCAGACAATGATGCTTGCAGGGGTCATTGTTCCGTGCTGGGACCTCCCCTGTTGCAGTGCTGACTGGCAGCCATATCTGATTTTCCATCAGCATGGCCCACACTGTTCCCTATGCCCTGGTGATTCCCCATCCAATTTACAGCCTCATCCAAGCTGTTTGCAGCTGCTTTTCCATATTAATGGCCTGTCTGAGCTCAGACTTCAGACTTTGCTA